GCAAATAGAGTGCTGTGCTTCCACTTTAAAGGCCATGCCTGCATTGTCCTGTGGAATCCTGGGATAGCAGTTTGGTCAAAGGCACTAGAGGAGCTCTCTGGGTGCATGCACATTGTAGAAATAATGCAGTTTGACACTACTTTGTGTGCTGTAGCTCCATTCTGTGGAATCCTGGGATTTGTAGTTTTACACAGTCTTGAATCTTCCTTGCCAAGGGATGCTAGTGCCTCACCAAAATGCAAATCCCAGCATTCTGTAGGATGGGGCCAGGGCAGTTAAAGTGGTGTCAAACTACATTATTTCTACAGTGTAGATGCAACTTCCAGCTTCTCCTTTGTCAATCTGGTTTGGAAAAGGTGGTTTATCATCATCTTTATCATCATCATTGATGGCAACAGCTGCCAGAGAGTTTGGGTGGGCAAAGCTTGGCCTTTACTGAATTTAGATTGGGGGGAGATGTAGTTGGCATCCATGCATCAAGACCATCCCAGCCTAGAAAGCATGGGATGCAATGCAAGACTCAAAATAGTCCATTTTCTAAGGGCTCTTGCACACTGGATTCCTTCCAGGCCTTCTTTGAGGAATCATTCTGCCTTCCAAGCATGTTATTTATGCACCCTGTTGACAATGCCCAAAGAAAAGCAAATCAGATCCATCCTGTGTTTATTTAAGGCTGAGGAGGCCAACATAATATTTGGACTTCTGCTGTATATTTCGCTCCAACCATCCCTATTCAAGAAGGAACAAATGGCATTGGTCCAAAGACATAGGGATATAACTCTTAGATTAAGCCTTACCTGCCGTTCTGTTTTAGAACCTCACCTTGTTGATTGTATACCTGAGTTCCTATATTGGGAGAAAGGTGGGATATAAGTAAATAAAACAACAACAACAACAACAACAACTGTACCAATAAGGCTACAAATCTATCATAACAGAATTTTCCTTTCTCAGAGTTGTGTTGCAGCATTTCTTGAAAGGACTCTTTTCATATTGTCGTTGCATGAGTATGTGTATGTGTATGTGTATGTATATGTGTACGTGTCGACTTATGGGGACCCTATGAATGTTGTATGGTTTTCTTAGGCAAGGGATCCTCAAGAGGTGGTTTTGTGGTTTTGTCAGTTCCTTCCTCCGACTTATCCTCCTGCACCTGGGATTTGTTGGCAGTCTCCCATGCAAGAACTAACCAGGGATGCTGCTGCTGAGCTTCCAAGAGCAGATGGGATCTAGTGCCTTTATTATCTATTATTTAGTGCCTTCAAGTTGCTTGTCCTAGGGTTTTCTTAGGCAAGGTGTCCTCCAAGATGGGGCAGATGTGCATCCTGAGATGCATCTGTATGGCATGAGCATGGGCTTTTCTGCATGCACCGTAGCAGCACATGCATAACTCTGTTTTTGCAACGTTGAACCGAATAGAGATTTTGCACATTGGACAAAGCTGCCCAACTGCCAACGCATGTGAAAAGACACCAACAGGATCCCAGCGAATGCTGTTCTCCTTGCGTTAACAACTGAAAAGACATTTCTTCATGCATTATCCTGGAAGGGGTGTCATATTGCAGAGGGAGCAAGCTTGTTTTCTGCTGCTCCAGAGAATAGGACACAGAGCAATGGATGCAAGCTGCAGGAAAAGAGATTCCACCTCAACATTAAATCATATTTATCTTCCTGTGATAAGAGTTCAAGTTCATCTTATTCCCATGCTTTGTGAAGCTTGAAGATGGAGCAAGCTTGTTTTCTGCTGCTCCAGAGAATAGGATCTGGAGCAATGGATGCAAGCTCCAGGAAAAGAGATTCCACCTCAACATTAGGAGGAACATCCTGATGGTAAAAACTGTTCAATAGTGGAAGATGCTCCCTTGAAGACTGGTGGAGTCTCCTTCTTTGGAGGTCTTTAAACAGGCTGAGTGGCCATCACTGGGGGTGCTTTGATTGAGAGTTCCTGCATGGCAGGGGGTAGACCGGATGACCCTTGGGGTCTCTTCCAGCTCTATGATTCTATGACCTTCAGGGAGTGGTGGGAATACCTCAGAGGTTTAAATTCTGCCTACATTTTTTTCGCCAATAAGCGGGATACAAATAATTTTTATTTTTATTATTATTACATTTTCTTGTCTTGTCTCTCCCTCTCCCCATAGGACCTGCCCCAGAAGAAGGAAGCATCCGCCTGGTGAATGGCTCCGGACCCCATGAAGGACGGGTCGAAGTTCTCCATGACCGAGTCTGGGGGACTGTCTGTGACGATGGCTGGGACAAAAAGGATGGAGATGTCGTGTGCCGGATGCTGGGCTTCCGGGGGGTGGAAGAGATTTACAGGATGGCTGTCTTTGGGCAAGGTAAACCACTGAAGATACAGGTTATCCTCACTTTCATGGTCCACAAACCACGCAGGCAGTGGCTGCTGGTGGCCTTGGTTTCAAGAGCGGGACCGAGAGTCCGCTCTGGGTTATAGTCTGAACTTGAATGGAAGAATTCAAAGTTCTGAACTCTATCCCCTGGATCGGTTCACCTTTAAAGTTCAAACTAGAATCTGGAACAACTTCACCCCCTTGCTTTGGGAGCCACCAGCCATACCATTTAAAGTTCAGACTGAAACTGAAGCAGATTCACGGCTCCAAAGAGAAAAGGACCCCCAGTTGCCATTTTGTTGAGGAGCTGTTCTTCCATAAAGCTTTCCCACAAATGGAAGCAAAACATCTTGTGTGATA